GTCGACTATGGCCGAGCGGTGAAAACCAAGAATTCCGTTAAGCGACACGGGGACAATTGGAGCAATTGCCCCGACCGACAACGAACAAAATCGAGATGCAGCCAATTGTGCAATGCGCAGGTATCAACCGATAATAGCACCGACAAGCCGTTTGTTTTCGTAGTATTTGACGTAAAAAATAGAAAATTTATACATTCTAACATGTACACGCACCATTCGGCTGTGGAATGAACTCCCCTCCACGGTGTTTCCCGAGCGCTATGACATGTCCTTCTTCAAACGAGGCTTGTGGAGATTATTATATTGGATAAAATTTTATTGATTTTAGGCTGTATGCTCTGCTCTTATTTATAGTGTAACACTAGATGGCGCCACATCCTTCCTTCTTGCCATCTTGTATGCGGTGTGTAAATGTGTGTGAATTAATTATTAAAAATAAAACGTATAGTTCAAAGAATTCTTGTTTATCAACGTAATCTCAATATATTAAATGGTAGGCAGCGGCTTGGCTCTGCCCCTGGCATTGCTGAATTCCATGGGCGACGGTACCCACTAACCATCAGGTGGGCTGTATGCTCGTCTGCAAGGGCAATAAAAAAAACATTAGATTTGACTAGTTTTTAAATTAAATTGCACGTTAAAAAGAAAGTTTAATTTTCTTTAAGTGCGAATCATAAACTTGTTTACGCACGCGACTACCAAAGCTATTATCCGCCGATTAAAATTCCGCGTTTTAATAAAAGAGCTTTTAAGCTACAAGAAGCATTACCGGTGTTTCTGAACAACGGTAGCCACCTTTCACCGTCGTTGACCAGTTGGAGAATAAGACGTGTTTCTAAATAATTATGCTTTTAGTCTAATTTTTAGTCATCAAAAAGTTATGCACAGAATAAAAACATAAAAAAAAAGAAATGGAAAACCACAATTTGAAATTGAACTAATTAATGTAATGTAGGCTGGTACATTTTTTTGTAAGTTGCAGTGAGATGGAGATTTATATCGTAAGGAGCAAGTCCTGATTGTTTTCTGATTCCTTTTAGTGGTAAACTGGCTTACATTGGTTTACGGTGGACCACTCGAGACCATCGTGGGCAATTTTTCCTCCCTACTTATTCACTGGTAGCCTAAGAGGCTGTTCAAGCTACGCCCAGACGAGTAGGTTAGCTCACGGGCTCAATCTGAGCGAATTTGCTAACATTAGCCCCAACAAGAGCAGTGCTTCGCAGAATCTATCACCGTAAACCATTTGTAAATGTATACTTATTTGAAGTGAAACTTCCTTATCGGCGTTGGAAAAAAATTTACCGTCACATTTTTCGGTTACGCGTCACATTTTTCCGTTACGCGCCATCTGTTTTGTATTCATGTCTATGATAATAAAATCCTTTTGTTTAAACTTTATCTAATTTAACTTTTTTGTATTCATGTCTATGATAATAAAATCCTTTTGTTTAAACTTTATCTAATTTAACTTTTTTGTATTCATGTCTATGATAATAAAATCCTTTTGTTTAAACTTTATCTAATTTAACTTTATTTAACCAATTTCTAGAAAGTTGCATGTAGATCATTTTTCGAAAAATAAGGCCATAAATAAGTTTCACTTCTTACGTGTGTACACTAGTACACGCACACATTTTTTTTATTATTTTTCAATATTTAACCAACTTCAATAGGTTCTCAATTCGGGCCGATTGATTATCACGATTTAAATTTACAAAAACTAGAGATTATTAACCAAGAGAAACTGTTCATCGCTAAATACAAAAGTTATTCGCGGGAACCAAGGTTGCCAGATTTGGAAAAAGAAAAGAAAGCGCTAAATGCGTAGGCACATAAAGTGCTAAATCTTTCAGTGCATAAAAATAACTTTATTTGGTGTCTGTCGTGGTTTGCGCTTAATTTACCGGATTGAGTTTATACAATTGTTATTGGCACTTCATGGTAAGTCTCTTGCAATAATCAAAGTAGGATACGCAAAGTCGTATTGTCAACAAACAAATGTATTTCAAAGAAGTCGTCGTGGCCTAAGAGATAAGACGTCCGGTGCATTCGTGTTGAGCGATGCACCTGTGTTCGAATCCCAGGCGGGTACCAATTTTTCTAATGAATTACGTACTCAACAAATGTTCACGATTGACTTCCACGGTGAAGGAATAGCATCGTGTAATAANTGAGATATAAGTTGTAAGATCTCAAGTATAGTTACAACGGCTGCCCCACCCTTCAAACCGAAACGCATTACTGCTTCACGGCAAAAATAGGCCGGGTGGTGGTACCTACCCGTGCGGACTCACAAGAGGTCCTACCACCAGTAAACCCAGAACTTATACCTATATCTCAAGGTGGGTGGCGCATTTACGTTGTAGATGTCCATGGGCTCCAGTAACCACTTAACATCAGGTGGGCTGTGAGCTCGTCCACACATCTCACACATCTAAGCAATAAAAAAAAGAAAAAATACGGGCTAAGAGGATAAGTCGTTTGTGATTTTCTTGTTTTTTTTTTTATATTGTGTGTAACCAAGCGTCGATGTAACCGTTCGCTATTTAACACCTTCCGTCTACGATCAATCTATTTCTTTAGCAAAGTTCATTAATTAAAGGTTGATCTGTCAACAAGAAGCGTTTTCTCATGGTGCTGGTTTAACTAATCTAATAGACAATGAGTTAAATCAACCGCTCTGTAAGTCGGGGCAGGGACGAAGCCTATTGTTCATTGTTATTAATTCAATGTTAGATACACCCAAGTTCTCGTTGAACACAAACAACCAGAGCTGTTTAATTAATGGATTTTAAATGTACGATTATTGTCAGTTTTGTTTGTGATTTAATGTTTCATTGTCATTTCTAATTTTGCTTTTGCTGGGACCAGATTATTTCAATTGTGACGGTACTTCCTCATTTCTTCGGTTCTATGAGCTCACGGGCCACACGAACGTATGAATTCCAATAGTGAAGTCCAGAGAGGTTCAACACTTGGTGTTTTGCGGTCACCGAAGTCAATGGACATAAATCGCTCAGTAGATACCCGTCTTGTTTCAAGATGGCCTTGTCGAAGTCTGCAATGAATCCATCCAATGCTTCAATTATCATTACTTCCTTGAAATATTGGTGCATTCCGATATCAAGGATAGGAAATCCGTATTTGAATACTGTTCAAACTTTCATCTCATTCTTTAACAGACATACTTACGTGGTGAAGATTTCGGCTCCATAATTATTTTGGTAAATAATATTTAACCAAGGCGCGATCTGTTATAGCCGTAAGACTACAACTGTACAATTACATAGAGCGGCAAAATATCACGAATCTTTCGAACCGCAGAGTTACAAAACAAACACGAGTCGAACGTGAGCCGATATCGCAAATTAACAGTTTCCAGAAACAAAACAATAAAAACGAGAAATATTTGACCTCCCATCGTGACATTGTGAGTTATGGATGCGCCTATAACTGGAGCGTGTAAAATGACCCGACTTGTACATCCAACGGTTTGGTGGACCGCATCACATTTACTATAATGCAACAATTTTAGAACGAAGACGTGCATTCCTACGAACACGATGCGAATTTGAACGCCTCTGATCGAATAGCGGTATTGGGCTAGAGCGGGGAACCGCAGGGCGAATTTACGCAATAGAAATTAAACAACGTCAATACTTATTGCAGACGATAAGCGCTGTTTTCAAAAGTTTTTCTATTGCACTAAGTTTTTTTTTTATTTCCTAGATGTGTGGACGAGCTCACAGCTCACCTGGTGTTAAGTGGTTACTGGAACCCATAGACATCTACAACGGAAATGCGCCACACACCTTGAGATTTAAGTTCTAAGGTCTCAGTATAGTTACAACGGCTGCCCCACTCTTCAAACCGAAACGCATTACTGCTTCACGGCAGAAATAGGCGGGGCGGTGATACCTACCCGTGCGGACTCACAAGAGGTCCTACCACCAGTAATTACGCAAATTATAATTTTGCGGGTTTGATTTTGTGTAGTAGCTGAATGATATCACAACGGAACCGCCATCCCAATTGGAACGCATCATTGTTTCGCGGCCCAAACAGACAAGACAATACTGATCTATGTAACTATACTGAGACCTTAGAACTTATATCTCAAAGTGGGTGGTGCATTTACGTTGCAGATGTCCATGGGCTCCAGTAACCATTTAACACCAGATGGGCTGTGAGCTCGTCCACCCATTTAAGCAATAAAAAAAAGGGAGCGGTGACAGGTATATGCTCTGCAGTAGACGCTAAAAATACTAACTTAATTTTGTTATTGATTATTTCTCCATTGTGGAAGTTTTAAATACGTGTTTATTTTTAAAACAAAGGTATAAACCTACAAGATTTAAACCCCGGCATAGTCGCAACACTCAATACATCAGTCCACGTATGTTATTCATTAGAATTTGTGATTATGTTTTTTACCAACAACAACTAATGAAACTTTTAACTATTGTGTATTATCATATAAAAAACACTAAAGGTGCCGCAGTAGTCGAAATTCGACTATAATTAATTGAAATTGTAAGTTTGTACACTATTATGATTTTATTTTCAAAGACTGTTATACTTCTATGATCACAATTTCGCCAAGACTACACTATGGAAAAATATTAATAAAGACAAACAATATTTAATCTATTCTAAATTTGACCACAGACGTCAAGAACAAAAGTTTGACAATAAATAAATAGTACGCATGCGTGTGTGCGTCAAATACATGGTAGTGTGTGTAATGTTTTTTTTAATTGATTTAATGTATTTTTTTGGCATAATTTAAAAAAAAGATTTATATTCTGCACTCCTTCTCTATAAGTGTGGGAAATTTCATACACCTCTATCTGCGCAATTTTCGTAAAAAGGGATACAAAGTTTTTCCATCACGGATTAATATATAGATAATAATTTGTTTTGTGCTTAAATCAGCAAAAGTAAACTAAAATAATCAAAGCACGGAAACCAGTGTGGACTGACGGAGCATAAGGCATTGCGGAGGTTGCATCTGCATAGTTTTCCGTAGGGCGGAATGAGCTAGGAGAGTGCCTGCGAGTTGTGCGCCTTAGTACCGGCTTGCGCAGTTCCGCTCGCATCGTTGTCGCGGCCGCACGCGCACGCCGCGCCATGAATAAGTCTCTGTTTGTACTCCTCGCGCTCGCCGCTGTCGCCTATGCCGACGAACCTCGCGGCTTAGATTTCAACCCTTGGACATGGCTATCGGCCACGAACAGAAACAAATCTCCCTCGATCATGGACTATTTCTTCCCACCGTCCCGAACGCCCAAACAATCAAACCTCGATCCGCCCGCCGATCGCAGGCCACCTCCTACCACGCAAAGTACGGACAGCACCCCGACAATGACGACCCTAGAAGAACGTACTACGTACGCGAAAAAAATCTCCACGAAAACTAAGTCGACTGTTCCGGCAACGAGCCCCACAGCCACGACACCACCAAAAACCAAAAAGGGCACTCGGAAACCTACCACGACACATGAAACTAAAATAACGCAGAGTAAAACGGAAACGATCCCGCCGGCTACGAAAGACGCGACCGCTACTACGTCGAGGCCTACAAAACATTACACAATCCGAACCATAGTTAGAACGACAGAAACCCCTACAGTTCAAGACGTAGACACGACACTGAATACGGATAGTACAGAAACAGTTTCCGCTGATACGGCTGGTAGTACGGTAGATGGGCCTAAAGTTACTGCTTCGACGGCGAACATAGCAGACGAGACGAGATCCACGGACGCCGGTACCGCGAGCACCGTCACCCTGGACTCGACCACGCAAACGGAGACTACTATAGAACCGGCCGACAGTCGCGAAGGATATCTACCGCTGCGCGACAAGCCCCAACAAACTCAAGTCAAGATCAATGAGCAAAACAAAAAAGAGGTCAGTGATTTAATACTATTGCTCTTTTTAAATTGTTCACAGTCTAATAGCTACAGCTTTCCTGTTTTCTAATGCCATTGTTTCTCTCGAAACGTTTGTAAACTTATCATGTTCGAAAGACCACATAATTCGGTACATTAAAATCGCGGCGACCATTTGAATTCTCACGATAATTTATGTGTGTGTCAGTGCAACCGATAAAGTCCCTAAAGTTCGCTCGCTGTACGTGAACGCGAATAAATTGAAGTTAATTAGCCTCTAGAGAAAGGTTACTTACTGCGCATTCACTAGCTTCGCCTGCGTTTCTCACGTCATTCGCTTTTTTATTTATAAAATTATTAATAATTCTTGTAACTCGATGAAGTGTGTGTTCAATGTAAAAACTTGTAATAAAAAAAAAACCAGTCTTTAACGCCCTCTGCCCATAAATGAATGAATGCGAACAATTACAATTAGTGAGATAATTGTTGCATATCGTAATTTTGATTGAGCCAGGGGCTTCTAATCATTCGCTTTAATTGTTTGCTCTTCAAGAAAAACAATAACGTAGCGTTTACGATTTCTTTCATCATTTAACATTTACGTTGTTTTAGAAATTTTCATCAAAAATCAGATGTATACGAATTCGCAGAACACGTTTTTAGATAGAGCACTTTTTTATTTTTTTTTAACCTATGCTGATAGCCTTGAGAGGCTATTTCAGCTTCGCCCTAACGTTTGTAGGTGAGCTCAAGGTGCTCAACCGGAGAGTTGCTAACACTGACCCTAGCAAGAGCAGTGCTTCGCAGAATCTACCACCGGATCGGAAACGCGACCCACTGAGAAGATCCGGCGAGAAGCTCAGTGGGCTGTGTCTATGGGTTAGTTCGCTCGTCGAGCCCTTCGTCGCAAGCGACGGGTTCGACGAGGACGGTGACCGGGGATAGAGCACATTAGCTGTTAATTACATACGACAATAGGGGTTTATACAAATCAGGGTGAAAGAGACCAATGGAATCGAATATTGATATTGTTAGACTCATATTTGTAATTCGATGTTATACAAGAACGCACTGTCAGTTTATTGACATCTCTTTGTATGTTTTTGAGAATGAAGTCAAATTTTACACTAAGATAAGAAAGTAATGTATTCGTTGTAAAAAAAAATGTATGCTTGAGCGCATTTTGAACTTCAGGCTAGATTATTCTATTTTTAAATAAAAAAATTGCTAGTTAATTTGTCTCAAGAATTCAGCAAATCTCAAATTACAATTTCCAAAGTGGTTAAAATATTTGAAGGACATCAAACGTGACAGACTGAGAAATGTTAAAACACAAACGTAATCAAGTGTAGCAGCAATTAGAGATTTCTTATAGAAGTGAAAAAAAAAAAACCACTTCTAGACGACTCATTGTACTTTCCTGTCATTAACGCGGCTGTGGTCGCAACGCCCGCCAAATTCTTGGGCAGACAAAAATTTATTTCGATTTCGTGGAGACATTGTTCACAAAGAGAAACTTTCATTCTTACAAATTCAATCTATCATTAGTTTTGTGAGTGAACAGTCCCTAATGGTTTATCTTTTGTACGCGTTTTTGAGAATGTCGCTAATTATTTTCCTGAATCGACGCTATGTTTCATATTCATCTTTTGAATTGTGACGGCTTTTGTTTTATGATATATGGTACATCACTACTTTTCAATCGGTAAGCGAATATTTTCATTGTGAAGTATGTGAGATGAATGAATGATTTAAGGTTCAGTTCCGCAATAATAGTATAGCTTTAGAAATCAGATTCGCATTATTTGGTAAAGATTAATTTCCAAATCCAACAAATTGCACCTTAATTTCGTATTTCATTTTGTGTGTAATAAGTAATCCGGATAATATTTATATAATATGACACTCTTTCTCGCAGAATGTATCTCAAGAATCATGTTGATTGATTCATGGCTGAGTAAAACAAATAAACACAGTAACATAATAATATGTATTTTTAAGATAATAATTTTAGGGATAAATTTGGAGAAATAAAATTTGAATTTTTAGTTCGATTTTATAAAGTACTAGAAACGTCATAAATTTTGAATATGAGAAAAAATAAATACATTACGAAATTTTAACAGAAAAGAAAAAGAAGAACAATTATTAAATGAGAATATCATAGACGTAGTCAAAGTTAATTAAATATGCATTATTAAAAATAACTCAAAACCTACTTGTTTGATCTTGATAAAATTTAAACACGAGCACATGGAAAACATCAGCTATCAAACAAAAAAGTTCTATTACACAAAGATAAATGTTGAATTGAGATCCTTCTTCTTTTTTTGGATTCGATTAAAATTTATAACTATTGACGTATTGTGAACCCACACACGAATCTATACCTATCCTGCCTGTTTCTATCATGAAGCAGTCGTGAGTTCCAATTTGAATTTGAGGGTCGTTATAGAATTTGGAGCTTCAATCTCATAGGGTTGGTGGAATTTAAATTGTGTTGGCTATCTGCCTTAGTAACCACATATAACCAAGTGGACTGCGAGTTCTTGTATCGATCTAGTGTAATAAAAACATCTTAAGCACACGGCATGTGACGAAAATAAACACATCATTATATTAGACTAATTAAATATTCGTTATTTGATTTCGTTTTCTAAAATCCAAATTCTTTCTAAAGCACATTTATAAATACGATAAAGCGGGACAAGTGCGGTTGAGGCTTTATCGTTAATATTCAAAAATGCAAATGATTAACCGTCCATTCAAGGTTGTCACATAAAGTATACCTCACATAAAGTATTTTTACTGGTGGTAGGACCTCTTCTGAGTCCGCACGGGTAGGTACCACCACCCTGCCCATTTCTGTCGTGAAGCAGTAATGCGTTTCGGTTTGAAGGGTGGGGCAGCCGTTGTAACTATACTGAGACCTTAGAACTTATATCTCAAGGTGAGCGGTGCATTTACGTTGTAGATGTCTATGAGCTTCAGTAACCACTTAACACCAGGTGGGCTGTGAGCTCGTCCACTCATCTAAGCAATAAAAAAAACCTCAGTGAATTAATTGAATACAGACCTAATACCAGCTGAATGTCTACATTGCATACCAGTTTATTTTAAACCGGCTTTAAACCATTTGCATTGAAGTTCTTCAATGGAGCAAAACCTTTATAGTTTCAAACACCGTTACTTCTGATTCATTATTTTTCATTTTATTGATATCCCGAGAAATAATGTTAATTTTAAAACCATATCGAATAGCATGCCGATTAAAATGCATTTCCTATAACTAATTTGTATTGCAAAATAAGACACGGCACTAAAGCTTTCTGTCGAAAAACAACTTTGAAATAAGATACTTCTTGGACGATGGACATAAAAAAATTTACATTGCAATGTAAGTTTTCCATCTTTAGTAAATACTTTTTTTAGTGGTTTATTCAGTTATTTTTGGTGGAGGAAGCGTGAAGGTAGCACCGGTAATCTACAAATTGAAGAGCGGACGGTTAGCGTGGTATGGACATGTGATGCATCGAGAGAAGATGCATGTGACTAGGAGATGTATGGAAATGGTAGTGCAAGGTAGAGGGGGAAGAGGTCGACCGAAGAAGACATGGATGGAGTGTGTGAATGAGGATATGAGAGAGAGAGGAGTAAGTGTTGAGATATGGCTGATAGAAGAGAAAAATTAGCTGTCCCGCCCTCACCTAGTTATCTCACTGTATGGAGAAAAAGAAGAAGATTCAGTTAATTTTGGTCAGATGGTAGCTACGGATGTGTTGGCGAGAATATTAAAAATCAAAATAAAATTAAACAGCCCTCATACGTGAATCCATTTATATTCCACTTATGAACACGTAACTAAATCTGTCTTACAAATTATCAAACATCAAACAAACGGGCGTGAAATACAAAAATTTTCATGTAGTAAACGTTCTATTTAAATTGGTTATGGCTGCCAAATAGGCTTTAGTATAATGACATAATTACGAGCTAAGTAGCCATTGTTATGACAAGACGATACGAATGTAAAATTAAATATTGTAAGAGGTCGGAAATGTTGATATTTTTCGAGAGCGCTATGAAACACGATTTTTCTATTTGATTTAGATTAATGAAGCTGTTAGTTTACGGAATGCGATGGAGCTATGCGTTCGTTATTACTTAGATATGCGAGGAGCAACAGACGGCGTAGGAATAGAATATGTGAATAAATTTTATCGATAATTAATTTCATATGAGACATTTCATTTCTAAATTTGAAACTATTATAATGAATTATAATTTGCGTAATTACCGGTGGTAGGACCTCTTGTGAGTCCGCACGGGTAGGTACCACCACCCCGCCTATTTCTGCCGTGAAGCAGTAACGCGTTTCGGTTTGAAGGGTGGGGCAGCCATTGTAACTATACTGAGACCTTAGAACTTATATCTCAAGGTGGTTGGCGCATTTACGCTGTAGATGTCTATGGGCTCCAGTAACCACTTAATATCAGGTGGGTTGTGAGCTGGTTCAACCATCTAAGCAATAAAAAAATACCTACTATTTTTTTTTTTTATTGCCCTTGTAGGCAGATGAGCATACGGCCCACTTGATGGTGAGTGGTTACCGTCGCCCATGGACTTCAGCAATGCCAGGGGCAGAGCCAAGCCGCTGCCTACCGCAGTAGGCATTATTATTATTATTAGTAGTAATTATTATTATTAGTCGACATGAGACGTCAATTTCAATCGTACAGTACGACCGACGTAACTTGGCGAGTCTGAATATAGCCGCAGGTCAACTTTCGCGCATGTACACTTGTAAAAAAAAGTGTTATTAGCATTCATTTTTTAAAATCAAAATACGAATTAAAATTTCCATATACAGGGACCAAGTACAAATAAAATGAATATCAAAACACTATGAGAGAGAAAGCTATAAAAATAACGTAATAAATTNCCGTCCGGCCCACTCGACTTATGGACGTCCAGGAGTCGGAGTTCCCGCCTGACTGCACACTGTGTAAAGCAGATCTC